AGTGATCAGGGTTGAAGAGTAGCTCAACCCCATTTGGATCATTTTTGTATCAGGTCATTGGAAATCTTTATAATAATCCAACAAATTTTCGCCAGGGTCTGCCTGTAGTCTTGTAGACTTTAAACAGAGAGAGTTGTTTGTAATAGTGAAGGCATTTTTGTGTTAACTAACCCAATACTCTTATTTTTGAGTATTATTGTTGTGTTTTCCTCCCTTCCAAGCTCTGCCAACAGCAAGGCACTGTTGGAGTTCCACACCAGTGACCCTCATTCCAGTCTGTCTGTACTGCAGATTGTCTGATCCAATTCATCCTAAGGATTGAGTCATATGACAATAGGGGCACCACCATACAATCTTCACTAAAGCCCCAGGAGGCCAACCAAAACTTGGCCACACCCATCTCTTTGCATTCTATCACCTTACCAAAGGCACCTTTCACAAAATGAGTGTCTTGGTAACAAACTGTCCTGAGCCCACACTGCTTAACAAAGAAAGAAGATATATACTTATCCAATGCACCTGTGTCAAACAGGATTTTTGCCTGTACTCTGTTCACCATTGTGATGAAGTCAACTCAATGTCCAGTTGAGCCTTTTTCAATCACAAGCAGATCATTGATGTTGAAAATATCAATAGCCCCTCCAAACTCCAATCCAGGCCCACTTGCCAGTGGAACATCTTTCTCAGAGATCACAGTTAGCTCAGCCATTCCCTTTCCTAGGGAGAGAAATGGGTCTTCTCCCTCATTTCCCACAACCAGCTTTGCAGCAACCTGCAATGTAACCTCTGCTGGTACATACTCACTGTTGATGAGTGGTCATATGATTATGATCCATGCCATGTTACAGTGGTCCACACCTATGCTTAGGTTGTGCTGCCTCCTACACCTTCCCATCACTCTGGATAGAGACTGGATAGCCTAGTGGTAAAGGCATCACATTGACATTGTGTCTCAGCTTAAATGCTTAGGTTCCAGTTTCAAAGCCTGGTCTAGTCAATTCTTTTCTGACCTCATGTCACAACAGACCCTAAGGGGGAATCTACCCTATTCACTATGGGTAGATCCTATCCTGGGCCAGGGACTCTCAGGGGTCAATCTCTCTATGCTATGTGTTATAGGCTGCTCTTTAGTGTACTTACCTTCTCAACAAACTCAAAACAAGTTGGAACCCAAAGGCAAATCCAGTATAATGTTGGGGTATGAGTTGGGATCTAGAGCATACTGAATTTGAGTTTCTAACAAGCAAAGAATCATGATCACTTTCAATGTTGTGTGCAATGAAAAGATCCTTCCATATCTCAAAAATTCCAATGAATCACTCACTCATCTTCAATGTGTCTTTGAGGACATGTTTCCTTCATTTGACAAAACTCCTACACCTAACCTGAAATCTGCTGAAGATTCAGTCACCCCAGCACCCACCACTCCTCCCTTAGTCAAATCACCTCAACCTCCTTCTTCAGAACCTATCAATACCACAGTGCCTATACCCAATCCATCTTCCCTGCTGACCTAGACCCTAGCAGGCCCTTTCATTAGAGTAACCAACCCCAGACTGGCCTATGTGGCCCTGTAGTAGCATGAGCTGGAACCACAAATCAGCCCACATTCTAAAAGTGTGAAGGAAGTACCCTGAAAGGTATATAAACCCCCTCTCTCCTGCTCAGGAGTTGTCCCCTCCCCTCACCTTTTACCACAACTATCTAAGAAGCCCAATAGCACACCTTTGATAATACTTACATAGAAGTTATCTAATCAATAGTGCAAAGGGTTACAGGTGCTAATAACTGGAGGTCACCATCCAGGTTGGTAAACCTTAGTGTCTTGTAGACCCCTTGTCAGTGAGGACTAACAAAGGCAGAGATAAACAACCTAAAACAGAGATAAGAAGCACCTGCTTGAAATACAAAGATTGGAGCTAGACAGTTGTTGAGCTCAACTGTAGCTCTCCTTGACCAATAACCTAGTCTAGAAAAACCAAGTCCTCCCAAATCCTCTGTTAAGAGGTCATCTAACTGGAGTCTACACTTGGGTGTATCAAGCACAGACTAGATTTCTAGTCAGGAAGTGGCTGGACAGAAGCCATTCCCTGACCACACAACACAACAATGCTACTAAAATTCAATTACCATGAGCATTGTGATCTCTGAAGCCTGAGAATGGGAGTAAGTATGAGTCTTTGATGAGTCTTTAACTATACATAAGGTGGTCACCAACAGAAACAAGGTCTTAGATACTGAAAACTTGAAATACCCCCCTTCTTCTTATACAGAATCCTCCTACAACTGAAGAGTACACAAGATACCTTGACCATGAACAAAAAAAATAAAAAAAAGTGTTCACACTACAAGTTAATTACCTCCACAGAACACCTTCAAATTAAAAGAAACCACAAAAATCCACCTATTCTCAATTAAAATATGTTGTGGTATTCAGTGGCAATAACTTCAGTTGACAATTCTGGGAGTGTCCTATGGAATAAGCTTTCTCTTTTTGATTGCTTGAGGATATGTGATCAGGAATAAGTTTTCTTGTTTGACCACTTGAGATGTTGTGTTCTGGAATATGAGTCTCATGTGACTAAATGCAATAGATTCTGGAATAAGTCATGTGAATCATGCATTGTATCTGGAATAAGCCTGAGAGGCATGCATCTACTTGTATTCTGTTTGGGAATAAGCCTGATGGCTTGAGGAAATATGTAGTCTCTCTCTTCAACTGCCAGTTTTCTTTTTTCTCATTGGAATAGGAATCTGTAAGTCTTTCACTTTACCTTCCCACTATCAGTTTATTTCATATGCATTAGTCACATGCCTGTTTCAGAATTACTTTTGACTTTTTCTCTTCATCATCTTTTTGTTCCCTGTTGCTTTGGGACCAGATCTGTGTTTTCACTAAGAGCTCTACATAGCACCATCTCAGGGTTTTAGCTTTTTGAGCACATTTGTCAACTTACCTGATACTGCAGGTACAATTACTATTGTTTTCATTATTGGTTTAAGAATTAGTTTTGAATCATTGGAATAAGAATCTAATTGCTTTTTCCTTTTTCCCTTTATCATTTGTTCCATTCTCTATTACTTTGAAAATAGGGAACAGGTCTGTATTCTCACTAAGAGCTCTATGTAGCACCATTTCAGGCCTTTAGCCTTTTGAGCACATTTTTAACTTACCTGATACCCTAGCTCAACCACTTTGTAATCTCTCAGAACATACAATTTCTCATACATAAAACACTAAGACCACAGAACACAAAAGAAAACCACCCTATCTTGTTTACACTAAATTTTTGGACCCTATTTATTAGCACAACTTTCCAATATTTCCTCTTCCATCCATCTAAATCTGCAAAAATAGCCTCCCAAACATAAAATCCTTGTAACTCCTTCAGTTTTTGCACACTATTTTTGAGTTTCCCAAATTTTGACAGCCCTCCTTCTTGCCATCAAATTTCATCTTTACCACTAAGTCTCAATGTGACTCCCTCTTATTTCATGCCTCTGGACAATCAAATGAACATAAGTGACACTGCCAACATATTTTCATTGCATGGAAGCTTGCTATGTAACATAGCATGTTTTCATGTGATACTATGGACCATTTTTCAAGGTAAAATAGACCTATTGCATCACATCTTGGCCTGCTATGTGACATAGCATGCCTCACTGCCAAGAAAATTGCATCACATAGAGGCATTCCATGTCACATAGCAGGCCAAGATGCAATGCAATAGGTCTATTTTTCAAGGTAGGGACCTTGAAAAATGGTCCATAATATCACATGAAGACATGCTATGTTACATAGCAAGCTTCCATGCGATGAAAATATGTTGGCAGTGCACCCAAGCAGGTAAAGAGCTTCCTGACTTGTAAAAGTTGGATCAGAGTGGAGTGTTACAATAGCCTAACTGTAACTCTGATCCCTGAGTGAAGATAACCAAATCCCAGACCCAGTCCTCCCAAATCCTCATTCTTGAGGTCAATTATCTGTAGTCAGTACTTGGGGGATTCCCAGTACTACCAGCACTAATTATCTGAAAGGGGTCCCAGTCCTCTTTCCCTCTCAGCCTTGCTCTGTTAAGTAGCTTATAGAAGCAACCCCTAACATCAAGGCAGCCAAGTAAAGGCTTTACCTGGAAGGACTATGCCCTTGGCTCTTCCTTCCCAGACTTTCCAGCCAGGAGGTAGCCTGAAAGTAGCCACCTCCTGACACACTCCCTTGACCTCAGCCTCAATCCCTCAATCTTGACCTTGACTTCAATCCCACTACCTAAATTCCTGATCTTCAATTCACTCAATTTACCAACTTTGTTGTTCAACTTCAATCATCTTTTGGTTAATATGGGGAAGAGAAAAACAAAGTAAGTAAGTTTTGTTGGTGTAACATTGTGTAACCTTTATAGCCACAACTCTGTGACACCTGAATGTACTCAACAATCACAGATAATCAGACACAGTTATCCCTTACAAGCTCTGTTCAGTGCATGTAACACACACCTTTGTTTTCCTTACTCATTTATCAACTCAGTTGTATCCTTTGTTAGGATAAAAGTACTGATCTGCCTTTGTTGTATCCAGTAAAGCTGAATGTTTGTTCTCTGGACTCATGTGTATAAAACACCTTGTGATCTTTGGGGTATGAAGAGCTGTACCAACAATCACACATATTTGTTCACATCACTCATACTTTGGTTCTCATAGGATCACCAAAGTCTCAGGACAAACAGCAGTCCAGACAACTGTCTGCAACAATAACTTGTAACCTCAACAATTTTAACCTTACCTAAAGAGGTCAAGTATGCAGATTGGACTTGATAATCTGCCCTTCACACCGCCAGCAAAAATTACTCGGACAAGGCTGTCCGAGTAATTTTTGCTGGTGGTGTCAGCATCTGATATTGAATCATTGACCTTCTTACAATTGAAAAAGCTAAAAACAGGCACAATGTTAAATTGGTGTAAGTGGAAAAAGATATGTTTCCTCATTCCCATTATCTCATTGAAAAGAAATTCATTGGGAGAATTGAGGAGATGATGAAGCCACATAATACCAGTAGAACTAGCATCATTCTTGAGCTGTTTTACTATTAAGATTTTTGGGTTATGTTTTCAATAAATGACATGTGAGTGTAGTATTTGAGTCATCTGAGCTTGACAATGTTGATGGTGTTGGGCTAAGTTGACTTGAGCATCCACCACAGGCATTTCAGCAGCTTGGTAAGATTCTTAGTCAAACTGAATGTGACTCTGTCACACTTGTGAATCAAAGACCTTCAATATTTATAGATCATGCATTGCCAATAGAGCAAGAAAAAAAGAGGATAGTAAGTTCAGAGATGGGAAAACAGAAGTAGTAGATGGAAAATGATGGAAAAAGGAGACAGGAATGGGAGTATCAAGTCAAAAGAAATAACTGAGAAAGTTGAAAAGTTGGATTGTAAAATATGCAATGGTTAAAAGTCAGCAAGAGCCAGACTTGGGTTCAAGACCAGCCAATTTTTTAGTCAGAGGGACTCTGATTGAATCAAGAAGCACTGGTTGGACAGTTATACCAACAAACATTGGTGTAGGGTTGACTCACAGCTAATGTGATCTGAGTTTAACTACAGATTCTTCTAAGATCTGATCAGACTTTTGAAGGTAGTCCAATGGAAACCTGGGACTTTCAGTGAGTGAAGGCAGATTGATTGTTGATTCAAAGAGTTTGGAGAGGGGTGTCTGGTATGATGGACCAAGCAGGAATAAGTGGAGGTGTGATTGGCTGTTGTTGGATCTGTAAAAGTTCAGTGGCGCACGAGTAGGCAAGGTAAAAACATCAAGTGTGAATATGCTTATACCAGATGGGCTCCAGCGCTATCGCTCTAACCTCGCGTCACAACTGACTGACTCTCTCCCTAAGCTCAACTATAGCTGGGAAAGAGTAAGTCTAACCCTCCTCTCTTATTCCTCCTTTTCTTTTTTCATTCATCTTTCTCTCAGGTGTTATCATTCCTTTAT